AATAATAAGAAAGCTTTTAATATATTTTCTTAAGCTGTTCAGTTAATCAAATGGCAGCTATTTAGAGAAGAAAGCTAATGCCCTCACGTGACTAAACTTCTTGGGGTAAGATTTAGGGGGAACTTTATTGTAAAGTAACAGCTTTCATATAATTTAATTTTTAGAAGTCTTCACATTCTTTCACAAAGTAGAAGATCAATTTTTGTTAGTCAACACTATTACAGAAATATTTTCATGTATCAATAGCATACAGTGAAAAGCTAGCTTAGTTCTTACCAGGCGGAGGTAATTCTGAAGTGTCTGAAGATGGATCATAGATGCATAAGTCACACTATTTAGGCAGCCTTCTTGAGGTCCTTTAAAAAGAGATACACAAATAAGTTTTCTAAACCTCTTATGTTTATAAGCATGTATGATGGATACATATGCTGTTCATGCAGTATTCTACAGTGATCTCTTAAAATTATGGGCTATGCAAATTAAAATGGTGAAGAAATGCAAGGCATTTATCTAGCAACATAGATTCATGGGTATTCATAACATCAGTAAAATGGATACTACTGTATAACTGGAAAAAGGTAGTAGGGTTTTTATGTGCCAGCATATTTTCCAAATGTTGCAGATGCTTTCAAATCTAATTAAACCATTAATTGGATATGATATTTCTGAGAATCTAGCAACACTGAAGAACAAAAATAGTAGCAAATTATTCTCATATTAGGTATTTCGTATGGAGTGTCTTAACATTCAAACCTTAAAATTATGAATTGAAAATTACCAAACAAAAACACTGTGATATGCTCAGCTCTGTTCTTCTTCAAAAAGTCCCACGGTGGTTGGGAAAAAATCTGACCTGTTGACCATGAAATGTTTCCTGTTAAAAAGAAAAAAAATAAAAGAGTGAGATATTCCCTGTATCTATATGAAGTGTCCTACGCTCAAGCATATTCAGCTGCTTACAAAAACTTCCCATTGTATACGCTGATAAATTTGACAAACAATCATTGTTTGATACGTGACTGACGATACTAATGTTTTCTGCCAATTAAGACATAAGTTTAATAGCTAGTCTGTCTTTACATCTTTACATGTAAAATTAAGTAAAATAAGATAATTTGTACCATCTAATGTGAATAAGGTTTTTTTGGGGTGGTGGGCAGGTGCAGGGGAGAAGGGGATTTAAGATGAAGCACATGAATTTTCAGTATCCTATACAACTGTTACTACTACTACTACCATGTTTTGGACAATTTCTCATCATTTTAAAGATTTTTCCATTTTACGTTGATAAGTGAAGTTACATAAAAGAGGATTTACAGTGTGGATTTACCGTACAGTCTGGATATACTGTAAATACATAGCGTGGGCTTTGCTTTGACTTGTTTTGTTTCACCTGCAATACAGATTCTGGACTACTAAATTAAGTAATTAACACAGGACCTCATGGTCCCTGAGATGATATTAAAATGCTTAATGAATTGTAACATACACATAGCTGAAAGTAAAGAATGCTTTCATGCCAGCACTGTGCAAAATTTCATAGCTAGTATTGGTCTTTCTTAGTCTAAGTTTTAAAAGATCCAGAACTCTAAAGATATTTTTATCTTTCTTACAAGATTTCACAAATTCAAGAAAAAAAAAATCCAATTTTAAATTTTCTTATTATACCAATATTGATACCTAGTTTCACAGATAATATACTGCTTGCACTGAGGCCAATGTTGGATTCTGCAGCACTATTAAATGACAGGTCTTCTAGGCTCCTCCATCCATCAGAAGTGATTGCTTGGAAATGGTTTGTCACTGCCTGACTCACTGCTTTTGAAAAATCATCCCATGATGTTTGTTTCCGGATATTTAAAGCACATATTGTGTTTTCTGTATCAAATTCCTCTGTACCACAATGGGCTGGTTCAATGCCACTGACTGAAATCCTTACAGGTACATTAAGAGCATCTGTTGAAAAACAGAAAACCAAGAATGAGAAAAAATTTAAAACTCAATTAAAAAATCTTATTATTACAGACCAATAACATCTAATATTGCAAAGGAAAGCTGCAAAATGACTCCTGCTACAGAAAAGCAAAAGTTAAAGAGCAGCACAGATCACCACCACAAAATCAGAACAGTGATGAAAACCAAATATCAAGGTATCTATCTTTTTTTACATTACAAAAAAAAAGTATTATTATGCTTAAATAACAGCAAGCAAGCCAAAACTTACTTAATCTTTTATTTCCTCTTTACAGACTAATTTCTTATAAATTAAGACAGATGGTAGATGGTATCTTAATGTTTCAGTTGATTGTGGTTGTGCACATTTTTATATCAATGCAGAAAGGAATTTTCTGGCACTAGTGCACAAGTGGAAAACACAGTTAGCTGAGCCTAATATCTTTAAATAAAAAGCTAAGAGCTAAGACAGAAAATTCCTAAATGTAGGAAATTTACATGCACATTCTAGAAACAAAATTAATATAATGAAGTTATTTTAAATCTTGCTCTTTGAAAAATGGCATACAACTCAACAGAAGCAGAAATAATCTATATGGATCATTTAGATGACTAAAAGTGAAACTATCTTCTAACTTTAATACCAAAATAATACCTTTCAGAAATTATCCCTGAAATTAAAAATAAGTGCACCACAAAAAAAGATATCAGCTTATGAAATCTTGCAACATGATCTTAGTTTTGCTTTTGAGTTCAGAAGCCAAATCTTCAGCTGATACAAACCAATGAAGCTTTTCTGATGTCAGAAAAGCTCTGATTTAAACCCACTAGCCTACCATAGGGAAAAGATTACTCAAAGACATCCTTCAAATGTGGGATTGTGAGAAATGTATCAAAGGCTTGTCCTTCTGACGGCTGGACCACAGGGAAATGAGCAATGATTATAAGAAATACAGATGGCTCTCTACAAGGAAACAGGCCCCTAGGACAGAGGTACAGTGTATGTCTAAATTTCAGTGCAGGTGTCCTCTCCAGTGCAGCTGGCAATCCCGGGCCCCAGTCTTTCAGCTCTATTGGAGCACATCCTCCTGTCCTACATGCATGTAATTCCTCACTGTGGAAACCTTACTGAATTGTGAGGAAGGTAGAGGCTGGTACCTACATGATTTACCCAAAATGTAGTCTTGGCCTGTTGAGGCGTATACCCAGATGAGAGCGGTATTTCCAAGCTTCCACAGATCAGATACTGTGGGCAAGGGAAAGCTAACTATGATTGCACTGACGTTAACTACAGGCTTAACAAATGAAAGAGAAGAGAAATGGAGTCCAAAGGTTCTGACCTGATAAAAGCAGTTGGATTCATGATAAGCCTGACCAGAGATACAGGGTACTAGGACTGATGAAAATAATACAAGCATCAATTTAACAGGCTACAGCTTCAGTCTAATAAAGAAGTAGACCACAGAGAAGTTTCTAATAGAAAGTGAATTGTGTTCCCCTCTGCACCTACAGTAAAATGGTAAGAACCTATATATTATAAGAGCTGAAGACAACAATCAGAAAGCTTCCCTAAGTTGTCAATTGCTGAACTTGACTACCCACAGCCCTACATCCCACAACACAAACACAAAAAAAGTGAATAAGTACAAAGCATACAAACCTACAAAGACAATTCTTCTGACTATACAGAGAAATAGAAAACACAGAACTTGTGACTGGATGGACTAAGTTCTAACTTAAGAAATACACAGGTCAGCCTGCTCTACTGAATTTTGAGAAAACTTACACAGAAGAAAGACGATGACAGGTTCCAACAGAAGAACAATCTTCTGACAGAAGTTATTGATGTTGGAAAAAAGTTGTTTGATGTTGTCTCTAAGACTTTTTTAAAGAATAAACAAAAAAAATTGCCTCAACAATAAACAAATGACAAATAAAACTATGCTCTAAAAAGAGATTCAGATATGACTAGATGATTGTCTTAGCCTGAGGAAATTTGACAGCTATCCACCACCAAGTGATTTTTCTGCAAGAATTTGAAGAAAAGAAAAGAGCAGGATAATAGCTTTGGAAAAAAGTAATTACTAATATTAAATTCTTAAATTTTAAGAGAATATGGATGTTTGCATATGTACAAGATATGTGACCTTTTCAAACGGTTTAAAACCAAACATAAGTAATTTAGTAACCTCCAGCAAAATTTTATCATATGCTTTTGCAAAACTTAGAGAATAGAAACTTGCTAGTTTAAGAAAGCTTGATTTTGTGGTGCTAAAAAAGTGACAACTACCCTTTTAATATTTCTAAATTTTGTCCCACAAGGTCTTTACTAAAAACATTTTTATATAGTGCTGATAGCATTTACTTACTTAAGTTTTCTAGGAGATGTTTGCAATCATCAGTAGCAACATCATGCAATGTTCGATTACACTTATCTTTTCTCTCAGCTTCTAGTCCACCATGGCTACAAAGGATTTCTAGACAGTTCTGCAAAGGTAAGAACTGTATTATTTACTTGTCCATTTGCTGCATTAAAGAGTTCTCTCGGTATGCAGTTAGACTCCTAACTGAAATAGTCTTCGAATTGAAGATAGGCAGCTATGGAGTTTCTATATATGAGCATCCAAATATGTTCCTCACATCCTCATTCCTGAAAACCATGAGTAAAAATATTTTATAGCAGACTTGAAAGTCTCAAATCAAGATTTTGAAAAAGCAGAATACAGCAGCCAAGCTTCTACAGTCTCCAAGCATCAAATGCTGCTCAGTTGAATTTAGAAATTCTTAACATCTGGCCAGTATTTTAGGTATTCACACAAGGAAACAGAAACCGAACTATGCATCTGGTTTTGAACATCATGGCCTCAATGTTCAAGCAACACTAAAAATGCAATTCTAAAGGTTAGTACAGACTAATTAATGAATCTATTCAGATGGCATACAACCAGTTTTCACTTTGCTATTCACCAAGCAGGAGTTTCTATCTAGCCTGACATCTGAGTAGTATGCAGCAAAAGAAAACCAATCATTCTAAAATCATCTTGCAAGCCTCTTGTTTGGCAGGTAAACCTGAATTTCTACAAGAATAGTAACAATGCAGTGAAATAAAAATTTCTATTAAAGTCAGAGCACAAACATTTTGTGGATGCCAACATGAAGCCCTCTTAAAATTCAGACTTAAAAAAGGTCATATGATCAACAAAAGCAAAAATTCATTACAGTTCATTAGAAACAAACTACTAGCAGATAATTTTTGATTGGCGCAATCATACTATAACATGAAAAAAAATCAATTATATAGAGCTTCCTAAACTAGTGAGGGGTAAAAAAAAAGCCCTCACAAAACTACATTCAAATGTTGGTTGATCAACGACCAGAAGATTGATTAAGTCCTGATTTCTAATGATCACCCATTCAGCAACAATATAGGTAGCCTTCATGAAAGCATTGCCATCCTCAGACACCTCTTTCAAGGACAGATATCCGTATTAAAAAAAGGCACCATCAGAAATTACACTAGTTAATACTGAATTGATAACCTCTGGGCAGAATTAAAGCAGAGAAACCAAACCTTGAAAACACAGACAAGCAGCTATTAAGTATTTCGATTCAGAACAGTGGCTTGTTGCAGGTTTGGCTACTGTTACCTATTTTGTAGCTGTTCTAACAGAAAGACTTTTGTCAGTATATCTGATACTCTGACACCTTTCATAAACATAACAGTCGTTCAAGCTGTATTTCCCTGTGAGATGAAATTTTACCAGATTGTGGTTCCAGCACTTGTAAGAACTTTTAAAAAAATCAGTTAGCTCACTAATTTTGCCAGAAGAAAATTAACCAGAAAAAAAAGCATATTTTCATGTCAGGTTAGTAAGTTAAATGTGTCTCTCAAATGGGTGCAATGAATGGCAAAGACAGCAGAAGGCAGAGGACTGAACCGTGAGGCTGAAAGTGGGAAGTAAAGAGGGGGAGAGAACAAAGAAATGAGGCTTATTTTCTTAGTAAAATGAAAAGGTTTGTTGGCTCTGTTGCCTATGAAATAGCAGCTAAGATCATCTGTAAAGAATGGCACCTACCAATCTCAAATAAAAGGGTGCAAGTGCCAGAATTGTTTATACGTGTAGTGTCATGAATGACATGCAGTGCAGATAAAGGATTAGAGAAGGAAGTCAAAGTGTTAACAGTTCTTGAAGATGGCTGTTAAGCTTTCTTTAGCTTTTTAATATCCCAAACATCTCTCGAGTCAATAAATGCATTTAATCAAATACAATTATATAAAGTCTTGGCAACATCAAAACCAGGAATCTGACTGCCAGCTATATATCACCTTCATCACCTAAGAGAATACCCTCAACCCTCAGTGAAGATCATATTAAACAGTTGACATGGAATGTGCTCAGAAACTCAAAAGCATGAGTTATTCATGAAAGGTATATGTGAAGACTTCCAGTGTCAGAGCCTTCGGAAAGAACACCTAGCCAAAGCCTCTTTTAGATAGTAAATAAAACCTAGCTTCGAAGCTCCTGAGGATTATATTATTGCAGGAAAAAACCAACATATTGCACATTATTTAGGTATTTGCAGACCATAACAAATACCTTAAACATCATCTAAATTGAGATGAGTGGAAACTGAAATAAGAGTCTGTACCTGCTTACAGACACTGGTAATGGAACATTGACTCTGTAATGCAATATGCTGAGTAAGCAGTGGCTAGTCCCTGAAAAGTGGAATTTAATAAACTGAATCTTAAATCTGTGTCTATTTTATCATAGTAAATATATTAGGGAAAAAAGCAAACATCTTGAAAGATATTGAATTAGGCATGTAATCACAAGCTGATTTTCAAAGTCTTGGACTATATTTTCCTAAAATTCACTGTCTTCTGTGTTTAGCATCCTCTATTTTCTCCCTGGGTGAAAGTCTGACAATAAGACTTGACTGACATCTGTCATAAAAAAAAAATAAAATCCTTCAAACAGCCAGTGTTAGAAATGTAAAGCTTCTGATGTCAAATCATTCAAGTAATATTCAATTTCCAGAAATCTTCCTGTTTATCATCAGTAAGACCTGTAAGGTCATTCTCTGTGTCATAAGTTATCCCAACCCCCAAAAAACTTATTCATTGCCGGCTAAAAAGGCTGCCAAAAATAACAAATTAAACAATTAAATAAATCTGATTCTCAAATTCCTTGTCTTACCCTCCATCCCACAGGAAAAATTGTTCATAGCTAAATCATCCCTAACTGTAACTGGAAACTATGTATATCTAATATCTATATTAAATACATGACATCCAATGAATTGGCATTTAGAGTAGGATTCACCTCATCTTAACTTTGAAAATCTGAATCTCAAGTAATCATGTTTTCTCTTTATGTTGTTGTCCCAGAAGAAACAGGCATTTAAATATGACAATTCATCCCATTTGACACCTAGCTTCTGGGGTACATTATCCACTGGAATTATATCTATGTCTCTGATAAATCAAGTGTGACAATAAACTACATAGCAAACTTAGATTTAACATCTAAGTTTTAGCTCTTCAAAGATAAAAAAGAAGGATTTATTTTGCCTAATTCCTATCAGGTTACTGTAACTTGTTCACATAGACTGACCTTAAAGCCTTTTGATGCTGCTATGTGGGCAGCAGTCCAACCCTCTTTGTCAGCGTGGTTGATGAGATCTGCAGAAATAACAGGCTTTACTCTACTGCTATAGTTGTCTTCTCTCTTCTCCAAATCGAAGTAGTCTAAATTAGGCTGTGCATCAGTCAAAGTGTTCCCATTGTTTGGCTCTCCATAGTACATAAGGAGCTTGAGACTGTCAACATTTCCAGAATCCACTGCTGCGTGAATTGGTGACCAGCCATCCTAAAAAAATCAACACAAAGCACACTCCCACCAAACACATAGAAAAAAGTTTGCAGAACTTATATCAGCAATTAGTCTAAAGGGAAGGCTCTGTTTGGAAACTAAAAAAGATAAGCAAGAGTGACATCATAATCCTCTGGAAAAACAGAGTTGCTGTATGTGTTTGGAGTGGCAGAAAGAGAGGGAAGAAAATGTAGCAGAAAGAAAATTTTACAGCTTTTCTGTAAAAAAGCTTTCCTTTCTCCAAGGACAGTACAACGGACAGAAACTTCAAAACTTTTAGGAGAGTCTAAGTGATACAGGACTTACATGCTGTTCAAGGACTGTTTACTTATTATATATCAAACTAACATGATTCTAATGATCAATAATTTGTTTCATGTTGCATTAATGAATCTATTAGATATTTTCATGGGTTTGACATCATAACTTTCTCTCATTTCAAGTCAAATATATTTACTTTCCAAATCCAAAACAAATGAATCAAAAAAAATCAGTGTACTAGAGGAGCAGAATATAATGTGAAGCTAATACTCTTCGTTTCTGGACAGCCTACAACGCACATTGCCATGTTTATGTCAAAGTCTTAAGAAAAAGTTCAGAATACACCTGAAAAGGCCAATACTTTGATGTTAATTTTGAGACAGTCCTCGTCCCTTTCTCCTGCATATACAATTTTTTTTTGCCATATTCTCCCATTTGTGATATATGAAACTTTACAATACTGGCTGGCAAATTTGGGGGTGGGGGTCCCCTCAAGGACAACACTAAAGCATCCCAACGTAAAAGGTGGAAGCAAGATCCCTATCTCCATTTCTTTGCCTTAAAAATAAGTCAAAACAGAAGAATTCTGTTTTGCAAATCCAGTGCTGAAGAAAAGTCAGTAGCAAACTGCAGGTGGAATCTGACTTATGTAAAGCGATATGCAAGTCACATAATTTAGGATATTTTAGAGATAATACACAGCTTTAAAAAAAACACCAGGAAGAATGATAAAAAGAACAAAATACTAATTTCAAATTACATGGTTTAGTCCAGCTTTAAAGAAAACTTTAAACGAATATTTTAATGTAAATATTTCCTTGCTGTTTGCAGTTATTCATTACTGTACAAGGTTCTTCAACTTGACAAACTATTTTAACTTACACCGTTTTTTACTGTTCGATCTGCTCCACCTTCCAACAATAGCTTAATACAATCGTTATTTCCATTTTTACAGGCCAGGTACAAAGGTGTCTGTCCTCTTTCAGCAGCATGGTTAATATCAGCCTGATACATAATTAATAATTCTGCACACCTACAGCAAACAATAAGGCAGTAAAATTATCTTACAGTCAACATCCAAAAACTCTTTATAACTTACAAGATTTAAATATTTTTTAGTAGTTTATCTAGTGGTTGCTTCCAACTGTCAGTTCTAGTTCCTACGATTCTATGGTACACTGTACAATTTCAGAACAGAAACAAAACATCAACCTTCAGCTCCTCTGATGAAGGGAGGAAAAGGGAGGAAAAAAACCAATCATCTGGATGACTTGTGTACCAGTTCTCAGTATAAAAAGACGACACAATTTTCTGATCATACTGTGATAAAACACCAATCTTTATAAAATTAGGAGCTTCAAAAAATAAAAGGAAATTATTCTAACTATATTGTGAAGAATATTCTTAGACATATTCTTTGACTCATATATAATTTTCTGTTTTTCAAAGTTACCGATACAAAAACCCCCTAAACCTTAAAAAAACCTGTTTAAAGTATTTTATTCTGTATCATTCAAGAGAATATTCAGATAAATCTTCTTTTGCCTCTGAACATGATATTCATAGCTCTCTATGCTTCAAAAAATCAGTGCAAAAATAATTTATTTATTTCCTCCTTCCTCTTTTAATCCTGTATTATGGCTGAGAACTCAAAGAAAATTAAGAAATTCAAAGGTATGACACCCATGTAGACCACTATCATATTGTGGTTACTAATAATACACATTCAGCAACCTTAAGAGCTGCAATTAGAAACAAAACAAATGGAAAATATTAAAACCAGAATGGCATATGAATATGAGTTTCAGTAGATGCTTTGAATAAATGCTAGTTAAATGCATTTATACCTAAGAATGCAACAGCAATGTAGTGAAAAAAAAAGATAATATAATGTAAAGAGAATATAAAATTAAGTAATAGCTGATGGGCAAAATCTTAAGATTTCACTTACTTGACATGTCCCTGAGCAACTGCTGAACACAAGGGTGTAAAGCCATTTTTATCAGCAGCATCAACTTGTGCTCCTGCAGTCAGCAGCAATCTCACACAATCTGTAAATTGAGCATATACATAGCCTGATGTAAGAAAAATGAGTGGTTAAAAGTACCAGAAGTTAAAACCCACTGAAGGGGCAACAGCAACCAGTCTTTTTGACTATACATCACACACCTTAGCAAACTGAAGTAGAAGCTCAGGAAGCAGTTTGCAGGAGAGAGGTGAGGATGCCTGGGGGGCACCACCACCCTCTTGCAAAAAGGGCCTGGGTTGGGTTCTTCTGGGATCCAAATAGGTGCCCATTGCTGGCAACTCCCACAGCACTGGTTAATTTATGTACCTCCAAGGTGGGGAATTTGAATTATCCAGCAGCCCTCAAAGGCATCACAGTCCCACTGGCAGTCGTCACACATCCAAAATATGACAGCCACGGGGAAGATGCTCACAAGCTACACATAACTCAATAGGCTGGCCAGTCTTGTTTTAGGATAGTTTGACATGGGATTGCAATGACAAATAAGATAAGCTGACACACTCAAACCTCCCCAGAGCATTCCCATTCATGCATTTCCAAAATGACATGCTAAAAATAGTACCAGCCTTATTCCACCATCCTCCAGCTAAATTAAGATAATTAATTACATAGTAATTAGACTGTGTTTCATCCACAAATTGGAGTATCATTTGATGCAATTAAGTTTGAAGAAAATACTTAATCTGCTGTATATGCTTGAAATTGGTTCTAGACCAAAATAAAACAAATCTTTTGTAGTTGAAACTACTACTTTGAAAATAAGACCAGCTAGAACGCCAATTATAAACTTCTGACCTGATTTCTGAGCAAGTTTAATGCACTCTGTTCCAGCACTGGCTAAGATCCTGGAGCCAAGCTTTGCTAGTGAAGCTTATCTCTAGATATCAGAAACATACATTTAGAATTACTTAGAAATCTGACTAATCTAAAACATTCCTGAACATATTTAGTCCTGCTATAATTCTTTCAAATATTAATGCAGACATTGTGGAGTTGATTGAATAAATAATTTAACATTAAGAAATACGATTTTAAAATACTGTAAATTGTTATAATGTAAATTATGATTCTTAAATAAGTAATCTGATCTGAAATGGCACTTTTTTTTTTTTTAATTTGTTTGTCAGGATAAGCTACCAGGACTTCATCTGTAATAATTTTTTTAAAGTCAGAAAGAAGCTCTCAGTTAGCTAACTTACCTAGTAATTCCACTTGTAAGATAATACCAATAAAAATCAAATTATATTTTAACCACTTCATAACAGAAAAAAATACTCTGCTAACAATGATATAAGTTTTTTCCTCTTTCCATTGTCAATCCCAGTCTTACATTAAACAGTTAACGTGAAAATACAGATTCCCACTTGACATCCTAAAGTATTTCTAAAGTTCATAAAGGATGTTGAAAAAATTTTCTTCTAGCAGTTTTAAGTCTTTGGCTAGAATGCTCTCTGATTTCTTCACAAAACATATATTAGCCATGCAAAAGCCATGAAGAACGCATAGAACAAGACCACCTTTCTAGAAAGGTATGGTTAACTCATGGATTGACAGATCATTCAGGTGGTAGCTTATCTATGTGAAAATACCATTTCTGATGAAGATGACTGAAAAGAGCTTTTTATTCTCAAGGATAGGTGCAAGCACGAGGAAACACAGATACTTTCCTAAGGCATACCATGTGAGCTAGTAAGCTCTACATGACCTGTTCGGGTGGCATATCAAGCAAAAGAGCAATAATCCCTAAGAAGCCTGGGTCCTCTGGATGGACTTTTGATTGGGATTTGGAGAAGGGTAATTTGGATCAATACAGGCTCATTAACTCTAGTTCACTGCTGTGTGCCACAGAAGTAATCAGCAGTGGAGGGGACTGGGTGGAAGGGCAGGCACAAGACAGACACCAATGTTGTCACTCAGTTAAAGGCTTTGGTCAAAGCAAAAGCAAAACATGAAAGCTTATTAGCACAAACACCTGGAGACTTTACTGCTCTCCACCACAGCTGGGTAGTTAGTTCTTCCAGAGTGCTGGCAAACACAAAGCAGATACATCCAGTGGCTCGGCAGAGCTGACTCCATGTAGCTGTATGTCTCTGCACCTCACTCCTTTCTACTTTCCACATCATTCCAGTTTTTCCTATCAATCAGGGTGCCACAGCCTCCAAGTACTCAGGATAGAACAGAATCGATGATACCATAAATGCATATGATTAGCACATAGCTGAGTCCAAAGGATGATATTATTATTATTATTATTATTATCATCATCATCATCATCTTCACATTTCTCACTTTCAGGAACTCTTATTATTTCATTCTCTCTTTCTCAACCACCTCATGTGTGGCAGAGAATGGCCAGGATTAGCAACACAATACAGATATGCAGATATATTAGCAAAGTGAACTACTGTACATGCTATCAAGTATGTAATAGACTGAAGCAGCTCCTGCTTTATTAATGGATCAAACCAAGATGGCCTGACAAAACAATCTGTTCAGCTATCCCAATCTAGAGGGTAAATAATAAAATCAACAGTTCCCTTGTGTCCATTTAAACACAAAGAAAGCACTTAGTGTATATTTTTAGGGTGACGTTCTCTCTCTCAGATCTACAAAATTAGGGACAGTGTGTGCAGGAAATAAAGCAGCTGCTATGAGCTTCATGTGCTGGAAAAACCCTCAGCTGCAGCTCTCAAAAGGCAACTGTTTACGAACAGGAAGACTACACATTTTGCAAATAGGACAGATTAGGAAAGAATATTTGAGCACTCTCTTTTCTTGTGTGACTCAATTTTCTGTACAGACTGGGCTGAGAGCACATAACAGCTGCTGCCACCATGCTGGTTACAATGTGCTCTACCTTTCTCCAGTTATCTACACATCTAAAATATTGTATATCTTCACTGAAAACATGTGGAGATCATTCACTTTCCTCTCTTCCCAGACCATCTGCAACATGGTGCTTGTTTCTGAAGGGAAGCACTCGCTATGCTGGCTCTTAACAAGTCTAGAGCTATTCTTTTCTTCTGGGCAACTATTTCCCAGGAAAAATTGGAAAATCTGGTTAGTTGACTTAAAAGAAATAAGGGTTTCTAGAAATCTCCCAATCTATTTAGTCACCAATGCCAGGTTAAAGTATTCTCTATAAATTAAATCATTGGTGTGATCACCCACCAGGGTAAGCTTATGTGTTAAGTCTTATGGCTGGATTCAATGATCTTAAGGGTCTCTTCCAACCTAAAAGTTTCTATGATTCTAAGGGCAAAAAACCCAGCCAAAAGACAGTAACATATCATTGACAATCTTAACGCAATGAAAAAATTTGTACAATAAATTATTTTATCCTTCTTAAAATTACATCAGTGTCAATTCTTTCCCCTGGTTAGTTAAAAAAAGCTATTAAAAAGGACTTTTCAAATAAGACATTTATTCCTATACTTCCTTTCTTAAGCCTATATATTTTTACATAAATTTGTTTTTAAAAGTCTGCTTTGAAGAGCTGCGTCTATCCATGCACTTGGAAACAAACTGAAAGTTAGAAAGAAAGGATTATATATTAAAGTTAAGCACAAAAAACTTTCTCCAAAAATATTATAAATCAATTTTCATATACGTATTAACAAGACAGCGATACTGCTGCTGTGTGATTCTCTCATTCAGAATGTATACAATCCATTTAGTCACTAAAATGCGATGATTTGTACAATGAAGTGTTTTTCACATCCTGTCAACTATAAATAGAAATGCAACACTAAAACCTTTGTAATTTTTTTTGTCTTAAAAATAAAAGATACTAAACAATTACAGGATGCATATGCATGTGTTTGTTTTTATTATTGTGTTTTCATACTTCTGTCAACCGCCTCTCTTATTTGAAATTTTGACAATAAAACAAGAAATCAAATTGCTTTTGCTGTCAGTAAGAGCTGCTCAGTACTTGTAACTAAAAATTAGGGCATTTGCTTGGAAACATGCAAGATGAGCAAAGAAAAATTGGGTCAGTTATGGTCTCCCACAAACACTTGCAATGATAAATGGATGTAAGCCTAGAAGAATCCACAGAACATCCATTCAGTGAGGAGGGGAAAAAAAAAATTACACAATATAAAAAACCTGGACTCTTAATACTGAAGATAAAATGTTGTTAAAAAAAAAAAAGTGCCAAAGAAAGAAAAGAAAAGAAAGGACTTTTCCAATATTTTAATGTTCTTGGCAACAGCAAAGAATCTGTCAGATGAAAAGACCCAGATGTTCCTATGAAGTAAACCACCTAGCACCTAGCAAGCAAAGACAAAATATACCATTCCGAACAAAAGGAAAAATTCCTCCTATGCCTAGTAGCAAAATTAACCCTAAGCATGTCAGAAAAATGTGTACTATCTGCCTAGCTATGGATTTTGGATTCTAACTTTACTTTGACTTTTAAAATACTTGAGAAAAATAATGGAATAGTCTCTATAAATACTATTTTAAACACTGGATCGGGGTTTTGTAATTGTGTCACTAACAAATACGTTGATAAATAAAACCACAAAGTACTCTTGAAAGCAGTGGCTTTAAAGGCACTATGTTCCACCTTTTACTCTGAAATAAATCTTGGTTTTACTAAAAATTAATTGATTTTTTTTTGTCATTGCTATTGGTGGATTTCATCTTTAGTGCCCAAAACAGCATAACGATATTATTTGCAATATAAGAATCTAGGAGATTTTTACATTAGTAGAAAAAACTACAGTTATGTGTACTGGAATGTTAAAGAAAGCTGCTGTTCCAGAGCCTTATGTTAACAGTCTGAAAATCATCGCTTTTTATCCATGAAATTCATATCTGTTATTAACATATTTCCCTCATTTCATAAACATATTCATAAAACATGAAGACTGACTGTTGAAAGGTTCAGAGATGCTATCTCCTCGAGACTGAGGGTTGGGATAGGGAGGAAAAGAAAAAGAAAAATGTTAACTGTCTCAGCAGAGCCTAGAGAACACACTCAGGCTATTTCATCTAGTTCAAAAATAAAGACAGCTCATTTTATTTCCCAAGTAACACATTACTCTGAAACCATCTTGCATCATTTTCACTGCTACCGCAGAAGATCAAAACATTGATGATGACCTATTCTTTCCTGCTTACTCCCTGTAGAGGAAAGTTCTTTCTTTCAAGTTGCCTTTGCTACAAAAGATCTTCAGTCTGTCACAGAACATGGGATGATGATATCCGATGACTTTTTATAGGAAGGGAGTGGAGAGTTAGAACGGATGTTCCTGCAGAATGTTACCACAAGCAAGAATGCTTTCTGTGTTCCAAAATTCTGCCTCCAGAAGTATTGCTCATATATACGCTATACTATTAGTTTTGTCACATAAGCTATATATGTCAGTTTCAATTTCACATTTTTAAAAACATGCATTTGGCCTAATTTAATATTTAAAACTTATGAAATAAGCTTTCACTATTTCACTGGAACTTTTTAACAAAACTTAGAATCACTTACCTGTATGTCCGTTTGTAGCAGCAGAATACAAGGCAGAATAGCCATCTTCACAAGAGTAATTAATGTCCAGTCCTTCTTCATTAAGCAGCATTGATAATAAAGTGACATTTCCCTGGGCAGCAGCTTGGTGAAGAAGGGTGGACCTGCCACCCAGGGGGACAGGACCACCACTTGTTAACAAAGGGGTTAGGGAGGAAGACCAGCCTGTGAGTTAAAGCAACAGAAGTTAGATGGAAGACACATAGATAAAGCTCTGCATTTTCTGTGTTCTTTTAAAAATTAAAAAGGATCTTCAAAATGACAGGATTTGTTAGTTTAGCACTAGTTTTGTGATGATGCTTTGTCTATGTATCAGAAGGTATTCTGAAGAATAAGAACTGCGTACAGAGGTGACAGTTGTTAATGAAAATGAACACGATTTCATTACAAAAGGTTAACGTGAAACTTGTTATGGACTGTAGTAGCAGCTGGATGTCTCAAAAAAATTTATATTATTAAAATTCAGAAAATACTAAAAGTTTTATACAATTTTTAATTTAATTGCTGATATGCTGGGAAGGATTTAAAGTATCTAAAGAAAGGTTTCCAAAACAAAATACTTATTTTCATATGAAAGTTCATGCTCCTTTATAGCCTTAGTGCACTTTAGTATTTATATCTCACCTGTAGTTATACAGATAAATCTCACAGAGAGCCCTTAATAACTTCAAGCGCCTTTCAATAAGTTCAGAAAAAAAAGTAGAAACCATTTACACAAATAATACATAAATAAATATATTTATTATCGAACCATACCTTAAGGTAATGTTCCTTTTACTCAGTAATACTTAAACAATATATTTTAAAATGCTCCAGTGTGAATGAATAACAGGTTATATAAAATTTACAAGTGAAAGCTTTCAAGTGACCCTGTTAAAGAATAGTATTCAATTTAAAGCTTTGAAAGCTTAGGAGTTATCTATCTTGGTTAAATGTTCTGTTCATTACTTATCAGCTTTAGTAGGGAGTTTGTTAAGAATATGAAGTTTGCTGCATAAGGCATAGAAAATTTTGTGCATTCTTCCTTGATCAAGGACTGCAAGACAAAATAGGAGAAAGATTTTTTTTTCTTATTTTCACTATTACCTTTAGAAAGTCCACATTACATTTCTCTCTTGAATCAATAACTTTGTATTCAGTGGCCACACAGAGGCTATTATTTGAGGCTGAAATCTGACAATACAAAGCAAGTTTACACAGCTTTTACTGTGGTTCTGCAACACCCAAGACTGAGGAGGAGCTGCAGGGCATTACTTCCAGCTCCATCAACCTGATCAAGTGCTATCCAACCTCCAACACCTAGAACTAGGAAAAGCATGTGGCAGTAGCTCTACCATGCTGGGATGATCTGCTCCGCATTTTGGAAAAATAAAATTAAACATGAAAGTTCCCAATAGAATTCTATAGAAGCAATAGGTTTGGGAACCTTGCAAGACCTGGGCAAATTTTAATCAAGGTCCAGACTTACACAAGAATCCATCATCTGAGCAGCCCCAATGAAGAACACATAGGTTGATCCCAGTTCAAAACAACAACAACAACAAAATAATGCTTGGAGTATTTTCATATTTGTTTCTAAAAAGTAAGCTAAATTTGTCATTTCAAATTAAGTTTACTAGTTTAGTACGTAAAGGAAAAATATTTGCAGTATTTTCACAATGTTAGCTTATTATTCAACTTATTTGATACTGACTATAAGAAGTCATCACTGCAGCAAGTTAACTCCATCTTCATATAACTGCAATTCTGAAGCTACCTTCTGACTACTAATACTCTTACTAATATTTGTTTCTCCAATACTTTTAATCAGAGGATTTTGGGGGATTTCTGAAGTTTGTAAAAAAAATAAGCAATATACGAAGTAAACTGCGTTCTTTAAGTGGTGAAATATATATATTTTTTTTCCACGTCCAATATTTGAGAACAATTAACTCTTACAAAATCCCCAAAGGTCTGAAGAATAACTTTTTTTCTTCCTTTCCATTTTAAAAGTGGTTTGGTTTTTTTCCCAAACTTTTGTTGTTCTCTGAAACTAAAGGTGCTGGAGCTGTTGCTATATACATCGATGTTTTTTAAATGGTACTTGTGTAGTTTTTACTGTCTTGCCATGGTAGTTAACCGATAGTGGACATTGCTTGGGTGGCACTCCAGATGCTAACATTCTTTGTCCAAGTTATATTGGAATTATTTGGGGGAATATGGGGAGCATGACACTGAACTTCAAGCATGAAGTTCACTTTGCCAAGCAGTTTTGTAATATGAATGGTATTTCTGGGTTCCCTTCCTTGTTGAAAATAGTGCAAGCTTTTTGTTGTTTTTTTTTAAAGCATCATTAACAGAAATGCCAAAACAAAAGGAATTTTTGTGCCATATGTGGTATCTTAACTTTCATTTCAACTCCTTGAAATGAAAAATATATTGTTGCAGTTCAGCGATGAAATTCATCTAATCATCATTACATGAAAAATTTCTACTGAAAAAGATACAAAAACCAGGTAATAACATAAACATAACTTTAGCTTCTATTGTCAATGTAAAGCAATATAATCAAACTGAATTCATCCAACAAAATACACCAACGTTAGAAAATACCAATAAATAAGGTACACCATTACAGATGCAAAAAGTTAGGAAATGTGAAGCATCTGTGAAAGCTTGTAGGGCATGCAGTGATGAAGGGCAGAGGGATAGACAAAAACAGCTTCTGGCATCAGCTTCAGAATGTGAGATGGTTAATTTCAGAACCCAGATCAGTCCCTCACCCCCCCACACTTTTATCTTCTAAGCCAATTGTATAGAGAGAATAAATCAATCGTTATAGAAATGAGCAAAATAAAAAACATACTTCATTGAAGAGTTACATAAAAAGCGCAAAACCAAGAAGAAAGTGAAAGCAGAAATCCCAGGGGTATGAAAATCCAACTGCCTACATTCGTTTCCATTTTGAAGTCTTACAGCCATTGAAATGTAGAAATCCAAACAGAGCAGAAGCATTTTGGCACCGGTTCAAAGGCTGCTGAAGTTCATGAAAACACTGTTGCAGATTTTGAATCAGGCCATAAATGTTCATTGTAATTTCTCTATGTGCAGTCTGTTCAAAATTAATGACAAAAGCTGATGTCTTTTCCCACCAGGGATGAAAAGAGCAACATGCAGTACAATGCCCCATCTCTAAAAGAAGGTATCGTCGCATAAATTTAGCAGAACACGTAACTGAATCGGTGCTCTGATGTTAAGTTTGCTCTTAATAGTTGCTCTTTCTGGAACCAAGACACTCCTCTACTGAAAATCAGGCTATTGATATGTTCTTAAAGCAATCTGAGCTAACTAGAAAACTAATTTAAAATTAATAAAAAGGAATACTTTAGTGATTAGGCTATTATCAATTCTCCTGACTCCACAGTAAGAAAAAAGAAACATGAATTTATCAACAAACAAAAAATATAAAAATGTAAGATTGTTTCAATGTCTTTTTAATGTGATATTTCTTTTCCACTGTTGTTTAAAAATATTAACAAATTCTGATTGAAGCTCACTACTTACTATACAATAAAATATGAATAAGATTTCACCATGCTCCTCTTTAACTGAAATATCGAAATTCTAAACATTTTCTGAAAAAAGTAAATAAACTAGATTAAAATCAAGCAGAACATTAATAAAACTAACTGAATCTGTGCCTAGAGGGCATGAAAATGCAGATATGGGAAGCAGGTTTCAGTAGTATTTGTAGTTTGTTAGATGATGTTCACCTCAAGAAAAGTCATACTTAAAAAAGAAAGTGAATAAGTGACATGAATTCAGCCATTACTGACCACATTATCTTAATGAAAAGTGTTATTAAATTTGGTTTATCACTTCGTTCCTAAGACAAAAACTATTTCCATATATAAAATCTACTTTTTTATTTTCTCAGCATAAAACTTTAAAGGAAATGTCTTTCCATACTTCCATAGCATCTGTTGCTCAAAGTCTTTTTAGTTCTGCAGTTTGTCAGAACAATTAGCCAAAATAGATTAACTTCCCTTAAAATATAAATAAAATGGGACTAGAGAAGAAGTGCAATCAAATATAAGCTCCATTGACAAAGGAGCTCCTCAATATTTACCTAAATATTGCAGATAAAGTTATTAAAGTTCTTTGAGCCTATTTGTAGTCAGTAAAGGAGGGATATTAAAATAACATCTCTGTATTAATAAAATAAAACAGCAGACCACTAACTACAGTTCATGCAATCTTTCTTTGTAGACTTCAGATTATGGGATACGTTTCCCATTTGCAATTGCAAAAATTCACAAAAAGCAGTGCCACTTGCAAAATATGGACAGCGTCAAAAGTTCAGAGCAAGGATTATAAGGAGATTAAATGCACCTAAATGTTTCCATCCCTTCCAAAAACAAGAGAAAGGAGTGTAAATGAAGAAAGGCAATCTGAACACATAAACTAGCACAAGTTAAAAAAACTAACAGTTTTAAACAAAAATCTTATCTTTGAAAATTGCCTCTGAGAACTGTCACAAATTTAACAAGAAACAAAAATTGACTATTTGGGGGAGCAGTCCTATTTAAAAGGTTGATTGTTCTCCTAAGAAAAAAAATATACTTTGAAGCACAAACTAAAGCAATAACAATACATGGAGTTATGAAGTCAAGTGGTAGTAATTTCATTTTTAAGATAGAAGATTTATTTTTTTTAAGAATAATCAAAAACTGTCTTAAATGATTACCAAACATCATCTAGTTAATGTAAGACTAAGTGAAATATACAGCCTAATTCATGCTGATAGAATTTGTGCAAGACAGCCTCTTGCCTACAAATAATATTTACTTTGAAGCTGATTTTGCCAACAATTTGTTGTATGTTAATAAAATCTTAGAACTTTTTGTAAATGAATTTTTAATTCCATTATGGAGCCTAATAGCACCTGAAGGCAAATGAGGTTTGGAGAATATCTGGAATACTGGGAGACTAATGATCTCTCTGACATGGCAATCAGACTCAGCTATGAATAAGAATTTAAGATGAAAATTCAGAACATCCATATGAAAAACAGAAAACTAAGAGGCAGCCATCAAATTCCACAGTTGTTGACTCTGAGAAGTAGTAGACAAATGGAAGATAAGACTTCTGAGCTCATATTTTTATGGCATAGTTCAGAAAGGAGGGAGGATTCTAACAGTACAGTGCCACAGCCAAATGTTAAAAGCATGACTAGGTTACTCCAGAAACATGCCGAAAGTCTCCCAACAAAGTGGATGGGAATAAAAATTCCTTTATAAAGTGAACCTTGGAATCTCCTGTACATACAAATACAAGACTGCCACACACTGCTTTTGGAACAGCTTCCCCAAGGCTGGAGAGTTCGTTCAACTGCCTTATCAGATGGTGGTGCAGCTACCAACAGCAAGTGGTTGGTTGTGGGATGGAAGCACACCAGCCGTGCGGAGGTTTTATATCCTATAGATGACCATAAAGGGACTAAAATAATGAGGGACTGAAGCACCATAACTGAACTGAGAATAACTGTTGAAAATTTGAGACCATTCAAACATTCTTCAACGCTGATGAAGGTCTAAAGTGTTCCAAAGCTGTGTCCCCGTTTTCCTCACTGCAGTGCAAGTTAGGCTAAAGAGGGGCTACTATCTAATGTTGTAGTGCTATCAATCCCAGCAGGGAAATATGTTGACAAAAAGATTTACAGGAGATCTACAATTAACTGAAAGGTAGATCAGGGCTGCCTTTGTTCATTTACTGCCATCAAGAAGTTGTCAGCACATCAGGCACACAAATATGTCCTCACCACAATGCAAAATGAATAGCAGGTACACGCACTGACTCCAGACTTAGACTGTCAACATAACATTTAGATTTTAATTCTCCAACAGCAATCATTTGCTGCTATCTGTTGAAGTAAACCTGTGAGATGCCACACAAAAGCATTAACAAAGCCTACAACTAAAATCAGAAGAACTACAGAAAAATGGAAATAAAAATGAAACATATTCTATAGGTATGAAGGGATATATTTGAAACTGCACTGTCATCCAGGCATTTATATACCTTAATGTGCAACTATCTAATGCCATAGGAGAATGCAGTAGCCCCAGCTATGCCCTGTTTTCTAAGAGATTCACAAAGTACTGAAATATGTATTCCATGGAAGATCACCAGCAGAGGTAATTTTCAAAACATTATTTCAGACTGAGAAAGCATTTTTGAAGTCCAAAATAATAGCATTCACCAAAAAAAAAAAAAAAAAAAAAGGTAAAAAAAAAAGTATTTACTTTAATATACCATAATCTGCAGCTCATCATTTACTTTAAACATTAGTCCTCTTTACCTTTAAAAAAAAGCCTTCAATTTGGAGACCTCCTTGAGGAAGCAAACTAATTTATGGCATTACTAAGTCAGCAAAAGAATTCCCATACCCCTGGAATGTGGAAAAAATATAAATGAAAATTTCAGCTTTTAGAAAGTAAAAAAGAGAAAGGTATAAAAAGATAAATAAAGCAAATGAGAGATGTATAGGAAAACCAAAACATTATTTTAGAGGGAGACATTTTGTAGCATATCAATCCCTTTACCTGATGCTGTTACCAGGAGGCTGTCTGAATCACATGGTCTACAGGATGAAGCACTAACAGGGTTTATGGAGGAGCTACAGGCAATGGTGGTGGGAATGACAAAGGAATTTTCTGAACATGCAGGTTGGTTCAGTCCAGGGAAGTGGGAAGGCCAGGCACCCACCTGAGATGAGGCTATGGCTGGTATGGCACAGCCTGCAGGTGCCACAGATAAATCTATAGCAGGTTTTGGTGGCAGCTGAGGTGAGGACTTAGAAATAATTTCCTCATTTATTACCCTGATTCCTTGTGGTGAACTTGAAAGAGGTGAGGTCACTGTTTTGCTGTCAGTTTTTGCACTTGTATTTGGGGATCGACTGCTATCCATTAAAACTTTAAGCTGTGGGTGTGGTGGAGAAGGAGTTTGTGAAAGCCCTGGTTTTTTAGGAGGAATAGGAGGAGGATTTCCTCTGTCAATTCTTGATACACTGGGAGTCTTTAAACTCGTTCTACCGACAGGAGGGTAAGTACCAACTTCCATTGAATGTGACGTCCCTGACCGCGGCGGAGCGCCGCTCTGAGGACTTGTAAATCTCGAAAGGACTTGGGTAACGGTATTCCGAGCTACCTGCTTGGCAACTAGGTTGTCACGACTAGTAGGGGATACGTCCCTTGAAGGAGGGCTTTGGGTTGTGTTTCCGTTTTGGTCTTGATCATTCGCATTTGCTTGAAATCTAAATCTAGCTGCTTGGATTCGTGGATTTAGGCCTGGATGCCCAGTAGTGTTGGCAGATGGTGAATGCAAACTGTGCATAGATGAAGTTAGCGAGGAATTCTGAGCTGCAGCAGTCGGTGCTGCAGGGGTGCAAAGGGAAGGACTATTTGAAAAAGGGGTAGTGCTACTTGGTACATCAGGTGATGAGCCTGTACTTTGTCCATTTTCCTCAATTCTGTTTTGATTCTGTGTAAGAACAGGAGTGGTGGGAGGGACAAGTTCACTAGATGAAGATTGCCTATCAATTACAGGCTTCACAAATGCTGCATTGGCACACACATTCATTTTTGTATTGCCAGACACTAGTGGGTTCACTGCAGAAGGCTTTACAGATACAGTTAAAGGCAACTTCTTAACATTTTCTGTGCTACTGTCCATCACTACGGTATCTGTTTGGCAGGCAACAGTTCTTGAACTTGGCTCTTCTGTTTCAACAGAAACAGAAACAAGACTCCTATCTTTATTTTTATCTTTGTTTTTAAGAGAAATATTAGCTTTACTTTCATTCTCCTTTTTTAATTGCTCAATCATTTTGATCATTTTATCTCTCTCTTCTCTGAGGTCACTGGTGTGCACTTCCTCTCTATGAAGTTTTGCACGCAGCTGCTCTCTCTCTGTGTCAAACTCAGACAGCTGCTTTTCCATTTGAGCTTCCATTTGTGTACTCCTTTGTTTCTCAGCTGCAAGAGACTCCTCCAATTCAGCAGCCTTTTTCTTTTCCTCTTCAAATTTTGACATCACTTCTTCCAGTTTCTGGGCTTCCTCTACAATTCGGCCAGACAACTGCTTACCCTCTTTCACTAGCATCAATACTACGTGCTTATTCTTTCCACGTTCTTCTTCAAGACGAGCGGATAGCTTTTTGTGCTCCAGCTCAAGATTCTGTAACTGAGATTTTTCCATTTCCAACTGTAAGAAAGCATAGAGAAAAATTCTCATTAACAGGACGGAGACTTTCAACATAACCTAGTATTAACTAGACATTGATGTTTTAACCTTTGAGAGTATGCCTAACATGAACTTATCCACCCCAGGAAAGTGATTTGTGATATCTATCCCTACAATCTTATACAAGCAAAAGAAAGAGGCAGGCATCTCTGAAGAGCAATTCAGAAACTAAGTAAGCCCATCTGCTTTCCTCCGTTGACAACACATAGACTCTTCAAAGTGATTAAATGTTTGTGATTCCTGAGTGAGGAGCTACATGTTCTCCAGAAATTAGACATAAGACATCACAGAAAGTGCTCTTCTCAGCAAAACAACCAGACACAAGCAAGAGATGAGCTTTGCAAAATATCTTTGAACCTAGAAATGAAAGGTTTAGGTTTCAGGTCTTCCTCAGACTGAAGGAGATTAGGCTTGAAATACACAGTCCATCATGCCTATAATAGGTGTCTTACAACTTGTTTTAACATTTATAAATAGGACATTCATTTCTGAGACCAACTTTTTGGCACAGGCACAAATACATTCCTGTACTTAGTAACAGCGGAAGGTCTCACTGACATCCGTGATGTTTAAACTATGTTATAAGCTAGAATCAAAAAACTACCTACTATGTACAGATAATGGATAAAAATATTTTTCCCCTCATTCATATAGTCATCGCCTCTAATTCATCTTGCGTGCTGATTACGCTTTTATTCAAAGACTTTGTTCTAGAAAAGCACTGGAAAAATATATGTTAATGCACCATTTTATAAAATACCTACTAGTAATAATGCAACCCAAATTGCTTTCTATTTTCCCAAGCAAACTTTTACACAAGTCAAACAACAACAAAAGAAAACTTGATTTCTTTCTTCCTACTCCTCCCTTCATATACTGATGTAGTAGCTTCCTATATGGCTTATCTGAATGATTGATAAAAAATCAAACAAACAAAACGTCAAGAAACTGCTGAGCATTCCTTCTCCTTTTTATTGGTTCAGCCTTGTCAGTTCTGCTTCATATTTACATACAGATTGAAACAGAAATAACAATTCAGAACTGTACCACTAAAGTGTATTTTCTAAATAAGCAATTTTTCTAGAAAAGTATGTTCAGGTACCTATGGACAAAAACATATCAGGTGCTCACAAACATGAATAACTAATTTTGACTGCAACAGGAAACTGTTTTATGCTTCTACAATATAAGAACATTTCGCAATGCTCAAAAAAAAAATCTAAGAAAAGCTGTGGCAACTAGCAGTACATGTAAGGTCTTGCTTGGAACCAGTGTTTTACTTCAACAGATGAAGGAAGAATCACAGATTATAGATTCAGATTATAGTGTCATGGTAAAATTATACTAACTTCAGAGTTTAAAGACAATACAGTGTCGTGAATATATTTACCCTAAACTGTAATGTGGGAAACAGGATTAATAGGGGATCGATAAGAGCTATGGAATATCTCCTCTCAGTCAATGATTAAAATTTGTCTTGGTTGCTAGATGAAAACAAACAGACACACAGGTCAAAAAAACCCCAGTGTGGTGGTTTAGCCCCAGCTGACAATAAAGCACCATGCGGTTGCTCAATCACATCTGGTGATCTGGTCTGAATGGGGAGGAGAATGGGAAGACAAAGGTAAAACGTGTGGGTTGGGATAAGGACAGTTTACTGGGCCAGCAAAGGGAGGGGGAAATAACAACAACAATACTAATAAAAGAATATACAAAGCAGGTGATACACAATGCAATTTGCTCACTGTCCAGGACCTGATGCACAGCCTGTCCTCCAGCATGGATCCCTCCTCCCTGGCTAGTCCCTCCCCACCCCATTATGTACTGAGCATGACATCATATGGTATCAAATATCCCTTTGGGTCAGCTGTCCTGGCTGTGTCCCCTCCTAGCTTCTTGTAAAAATTAACTCTATCCCAACCAAAACGCAGGACGCCCAGGCATTACAATACAATAGCTTTTCAGAAGCCTGTTGTCACAATACTATTCCCTGTCCTCTCCGATGGGAGATGAAATTTATTAGCTCTGGAAGCTTCTTCTACATCACTGTAGATGTGTCTACAATTCATTTTTAACTAAACTACACTTAAACAAAAGTTAATATAAATACCATTTTTAAATAACAGGTTTTTTACTCTCCAGTTATACCATAGAGTTGAAACTCATGCAATCAAGAGATGAGTACAAGAGGGAGAGAGTCTGCAGTTGTAATAGAAATAAATCCCACCTGGTATAGCTCACTGTCCCAAGGATAATTTTTTCCCACATGGTAAGTAGAATTCAAACACAAGAAAGTGCTTAAAAAGGAAGGGAAGTGAAATGACATAAAGAGAACAAACAATAAATCCTGCGTGAATTTACACTTACAGATGAACATATAGTCTCAGTCTCCCAACATTTCTAATCATGTTACCTGACAGTAAATTTCTTTTCTGTTTTCTTCAGAGGTGATGGCAATATTGATGTGATGTATTTGATAGTAATAGAATTTTTTTTTCCTGAAATCATACCATTATTATAAGAAACAGTGAACTAAGAGGAAGAAATCACTATGGGAAATTATACCTACATTATAAACATCATCTTGGCTTCAAATATCTTAAAACCTGTTCAGCAGTAGAGGGGCTCCACTGGGGTTTTAGAGCTTCATCCCAGGTTAACCAATACACTCTGCACAATGCATTTCACAAAACCAAGCGCATCCTTTCTTAAAAACAGTGTTAACTATATAAAAAATAAGGTATGGCATTATCATTCATTGCTAAACAAACAATATCAGCAACACCTCTTCAGTTACATTAATGACAACACAGTTGCAAATTAAATTAACAAGCTATTATGATGACACTGTTTTCTTCACAGCATCCAACAGCATTTGGATGCTTTCACAAACATTTCAAGTAAGTGGAGCATCCAACAGTTCCTTTTTTGTTAAAACAGATAAAAAAATAATGAGAAATGTACACAATTTTTAAAGCTTGGAAATGCAATAAGACTATAGTGAAAATGTTTTTATCAAGATTTCTATATTTTATTATTCCTCCATTTTGCTTTCAGACAAGGGACTGGTTCTGTAAATTAACTGTTGTGAAATTATATTACTTTCAAATAATTACAAGCAGATTTTAACATATAACTGGAATGAAATCAGCTTACTATACTATTATAGTATTTTATTTGTAAGCATTGCATTTGAATGAAGAATCTCTAATTATATATATATATAACTCCTCTACTTGATTTCAAATTGACAAGAGCAGCATTAGTTTCTCATTTTACGTTGTGTCCTATGTCTATCTCTCCCCGCCACCCTTGTTTTGGTTGCATCATCTTGAATAGGAAAAACCTCTGAATATTTCCACTGCATTTTTTCCTTTAGATGACAGATTTGGAACTAGCTGTAATTATTTATGAGTTTATGAACTAACTGAGACCTGATTTTTGTGAAGTGTACTATATGCGTGCACTAAATCATAATCAGTAATGTAGACACCTAGAAATGTGTCCAAGAAGGATTTGAGATAAAGAAGGATACTGAGAAAAATGATAGTGTCCCACAAACACCTAACCAGCGAAGGCCCTTCAAAGGTGAGAGAGAGTGCATGCCTTGTGAGAAAAGGTCGAGGGAGCTTGGCTTGCTTAGTCTAGTGAAAAAAAGACTGAGGGATGACCTAACAGCAACATACCACTCCTTTTGAAGGGCCCTGACAATGATGAGAGAGTCAAATTCTTCTTGGTAGTGGCAAGTGGGGCCCCATAACAAAAGGTTAACATGAAAAATTGCCCTTTAAGAGTCTCAGTCCTGGAAAAATGTTCTTCACAAGGTTAGTAGTGCAGAAAGGCTGCAGTATTGCCGTTCCTGGGGGTTTTCAGGACTCAGCTAAACAAATTCACAGATGACCAGATGTACTGCTGGTGACAACCTGCTTTAAATACAAGGTTAGACTAAATCACATCTATGGGCCTCTTCCAGCCAAGGTGTCTGTCTGTCTTTGAGCATGCATCCCAATACTAACTTCTCTGCAAACACTTGACAAATCAAGAACTGGCATTTTGATTATCTGGTTCTGAGTTCGCAGGAAACTTCAAAATTAATTTTGATAGCAGCTCCAGAAAAAGCATTCAAAGAGATGGAAGAGGATGGAGACTTAACACAAAGCACATGACATCTGCATATTAGGTGTTTGGTATATGGTAAGCCTATGACTGTCAGTCATTTGTGCACCTCTTTCATTTTTCTACATTCTCGCACATTGTTATGACTTGCTTTCTATGATCAAATAAAATACTTTTAAGGTCACTATATTTACAGATAATAAGTGTCCAGGAATAAGAGTTCAGTCTGAGCCTGTTTAGTCCAGTAATATCCAGAGAAAATAAACACAGCTGTACACAGACTTCATTACTTAGTGTAAGAGTGAAACAGTGAGGCAATTCCAAACATGAAGATAAAAGCATCACACATTTAGAAAAGGAGGAACCACTCTTGGAGGGAGGAGGTGCAGCTGGCTCTGTATTCAGGTCACATTTTTCTAGGCTTAACTTTTTTTTTTCCTTATATTGGGCCACCCTACTTTGTCGATCATTTCCAGTGATCCTCAAAATACCTTCATTGCCCTCTTCCATGGAGGGATTTGAGAGATGAAGAACAGACAGACAGACTGAAAAATGTGGAATTAAGGGACAGTAAAACACTGAATGAATGGTGTGTGAATGAATGGAGATGCTTTAGGGATATGTCATCTGTTGCCACAAACCCAAGAAGTTTAAGAGGGTGTCCTGTCCAAATATCATTTCTAATTGGCTTTAAAAGAGGAAGATGTAAGTTCTCTAGAGAGTCATATATACAGCTGCTCAGCACCATGCAGTTTGTTTTCAAATCCTGTGTTATTTAAATTTCCTATTTGTTACGAGGAGTAAAAGTGGTAGAATCATAATCACACACATTCAAAGCAACACACGTTAGTCCAAGCGTAGTGCTTAAAAGTTTAGCTTGAAAGTTACAGACTTCAGAATTGAGTGTACTAGAGGTTTAGGTACTTCTCAAGGTAAGAATCAAACTGCAAAATAAATTAAGATCAAACTACTTAAAATTAAGATTTAGAGAAAAAACCTCATATATTCTTTTAGGAAACAAAAGACAAGAGCATCATTTCCTGTACATGCAGACTTGTAGATACAGACTTTGGTAATAAACCTGGGCCAAAAAAAAGGACAAAAATGTAATTTACATATCAGTACCCTGACTTTGAGGCATATTCTCAATATGTAAGCCCATCTTACATGCATGTATCCGTCCATATACTAAAAGCCAGAGATAGATGAAGATTTTAGGTACAAGAAGAGACTTGTGGCCATGCACTGAAACAAGAAACTAATCCAATTGTCCAGGCAGATGTGTCAGGGTCTCTCCCAATATAATTTTTCAGTCAGAACAAGCAAGCTTGCTCACTCTTCTATATTGAGACAACCCCCTCCTTAAAATCTCAACTCTTACTTAAAAAGCGTATGAAAAAGAAAATTAACATGTAAGAGTCCTCAAAAAGAAGTACTAGATAAGTTTAAGTAACAGTTGACTAGATTATACTGTTTTAAGACTTACATATCACACATACAGCCTAGTATTATTCTTTTTTTTTAATATCTGCGGTATCTGTTTTTCTGAAGTCTTACCAGAGCAGAGATGCTTAAACTAAACTAAAAAACAGAGCTAAGATAACAAGTAAAGGTTTGCTGATTTAATTTACAGATATATCTTCAGCATGCTTGCAGTACTTTTGTATGCATATTATTACCCAAAGAGCAATTGCTCACAAAATCAATGTTATGTCAATTGCCTCAGCATTGTCTGGTGTGTCTTTTTAAACACCAATATGAAACTGTCATCAAAAAGCTATTTCGCAGCTGCTGAAGACTTTCTATCCATCATATACCCAGTGAGGATGATTCAATGCCTAGCAAGCATTTCTCTTCTAATTATTCAAAAATAGCTGGTCTAGAGTCACCTATTATATTATTGTTCCTCTCTTTCTTCTCAGAAATCCCTTCCCAACATATTCATATTTAGCTATGCTTTAGGGATGTATGGCTTCCATATTAGTCAAATATGTGCAACCAACCAACCACTGACTTTCAAAATGACATTGTTTTATCTTCAAAATGAGACTTTTTTTGCAAAATATTTGTTCCAAAATAATTTTCTCTTTACAGCTAATGTTCTAAATATTCAAAAAAGTATTTTTGGAGTTATAATTTATTTTTACTGATTTATGAAACTCAGCCACCTAATATAAAATGCAAATAAATTATTTATTTTATGCTATTTAGGTTAGAACAAAAATAACAGTAGCTCTTCTAGGCTTCAGTGGTGTTGGTTTAAAAATATATTGATGATGCTTTCTCAGCTCATGTTGAGCTATACACTTATATACTGCATTGACTTGTACCAGTGATATTTCATTTATTCCATAAGTAGAGCTAAATTCATAGAATGAATGAGGTGTGCACACAAAATATCACCAGAAAACCAGCACTTCACTATGTATGACAATTAAATCATGAAATTTTAACATTTGTAATGATAATCAAGTTAGACAAACATGCGAATTAGAAAAGTGGCATGAAAGAGCAAATCAGGAGAGGGAAAAAGAAACATGTGGGTAGTGGGATACCTTCTTTTGTCTGTTTTCAGCAGCAGCCAACTGAGCTGACATTCTTTCTTGCATTTTCCTGCAGTGAGCCATAACAGCTTCTAAAATGGACAGAGGGTTCATGCATATTGGCTTCTTTTCTTTATCACCAGCACCTGCCTCAAAGTCTCTCTGAAGAGCCAGAAATGGGTCACTCAGATTAAATCTTCCATATCGCTCCTGGATAAAAACCTCTTTGCGCCGGGCCTAATAAAAAACCCAAACAAACAGACAAAGATATAAAACTAAATGCATTCTTTGGAGTACATTCACACATAGAAGAGACCTAAAGCACAGGGAAAGTTATGTTACTTATTTATATTTTTAAAATATTTCTTTAGGTATTTGTTTACAAACTCTAAAAGAAATAGTTACATATGTTGCACACAGATTTCATTATAGTCAATACAATTCACTACATAAAAAATCTCCTTCTCTTTCTCATTTCAATACATAAATATCAATTTGGAGCTGTTT